CACGCGAACTGCAATTTACGAATTGACATTTAATTAGTAACATGCAATACGTATTCCCGAGATATATATGTGCACACATAAGATAAGATATTGGAAGCTTCGGATTCATACTATAGACGAGTCATGCGATGGAAAAAGAAGAAGAGAACTATTTTGTTTCAACTAAGTTTGCTTCACGAACTATACAGACTGATATCCTTTATACACGCAACTGCTCTCGAATCATACTCGTTATATTGATTTAGAGAGAGGCAATAGAGAAAAAGACCTCTCTCTGGAATCTGTAGATACAAACGAGTAAATAAGACCTCGGTGAGCGACGACTTCGGGAGCTACGAGCTTTTGAATCGTGTTGTTTCTTTTAAGGAATGGAATAATAATTTTAACATTTTTCACAACAAAGTCGTTCTCTTATTCTATCGCATCCCATCCAGGAAAGGCGATGAAATATGCAATAATAAAAGCGGAAAAAGATATATATAAAAAGCAAAAGATAGATACCTACTTACAGCCGGATCGTCTTGCCTTATTCAAACGGAAGAACGACGTGTAACAATGCCAACTATTCTATAGATAGTTATTTTTAACGATACTTTGAACGTAGTTGTTGTTCGATTATATTTATTCTGTCGATTTCACAAAAGCATAGATATCTATGTATATACAGAAAATAAAGCGAGAGCAGGACAAATGAGATACGAAATACTTTTAGAATATCACACTTTTCCATGGAGATTTTAAATGAGATTTCAGACTTTAAAGATAAAAATAATTTTTTTAGATTTTTACTTAAAATTATAATATCTACTGCTCTTCGTTACTTATAAGCATATTTTTCTTGCAAATCAGATTACTTCACATTTATAACAATCAATTTATTGTGGATTGAACTTGAAAAATCATCAAACATGTGTCTAGACTTTTTTACTCACTTTGTGACTCGTATATATAATTTCAAGAACATGTAATTGATTGTAAGCGATGTCCTTTCGATACTTTGTACTATTATTGTATTTCAATATTAAAAGTAGCGAATGTAAAATGTGAAATGCACGTGAATGCGGGCCCGACTTCAAAAACTGCACTCTCGAGTCGCGTTGTTTCCTTCGGATTATCGGGAGCCCTATGATATATGTGAAGGAAACTCGGAAAAGTTGCAGGGATAAAGTGGGCGCACAGGATCTATCGGGGTAGTGGCCGCTTTAAGAAATATCGGGGAAACTCCGTGGGCCCCTCAAAGAATGGAATACTCCGACTGCGTTTAAACGGGGGAGAACGGTACAACGGATACTCGATACCGTTCCTCTGGATAAACCGAGCTTGAGTGGCGTGAATGCTTGCCGACTTTCCCACGACTGCCCCTTCCGTTTTTCTCTCTATCGACGCGCTTGCTGTTCCCGCGCGGAGGCCCGGTTTTGTATTGAAAACCAAATTTCGCTCGTCGACGCTATCGTCGCCGAGATGACGTTGAATCCGATATAAAACTTTTCGCTTCGACGTGACGCAATGACATCAAGTAGAAAAGAGGCAAAATATGCGAACGATGGAGGGAATCTCATTTTTGCACATCGGGTTTTTAGCAATCGCTCGAGGTGAAACGGAACATTCACGTGTTGCGCGAGGAAGAGCGAAAAGAAGTATCATAAATGATACGAAAATGTTTAATTAGAATCAAATCTGTCTTGATCTATCAGCAATCAATACTAAATTTCTGGCATTATATGCATTGGTCTTCAGTTGAAGAACCTTTTTCAGTTTAATTGAAACGCGGATGCTTAAAAAAAATTTTCACTCGACGCTCTCGGTTTAAATATTTATAATTTTTATAATTATTGCACACGATCTTTCAAATCAAGTAATCCACTTGTATTATTACACGATTTTTTAAATAAAGTAATCCGTTTATAAATTTTGCATAACATAAAAAATAATATGATAAAAAGAATGACGCAAAGAACGTTTGCATGCTCGTGTATTATAGTTTTACGGTATTGAATGGATTTTGCGCGAATCTCTGTGCGCTCTTACAAAAATGATGCTATAGTATCTCTCTGCCTTTTCTCTTTTCCCGTTCGCGTAAATATTTATATCGAGTATCGGGAAAATGGGCAGGGGCACATTTGCACGCTTAAACGCTATCGATGTATGTAGCGAAGTGTATGCTAGACACGTGTGCAGACAGGTATAGGAAGGTCCCCGAAGCTCTCTAGACGTAATTCAGTAATGATTTTAGGGTAAGGTTCATAATAACTGCGCAAATGAGAGGGGTCCCGTAATTAATTCGAGATTGTCCCCGCGAATGGAAAGAGAGAGAGAAGGCACGTCGAGCGTGCGCAATCCCGTCGTGTACATGAAGTAGATCCCACCATGAGAACCCTCCTTATGTAAAGCCGAATCAGCGCCGTTAATTTGTTAAGTATGAAGACAGAATCGCTTCCTTTCTGTGTCTGTTTAATATGATGCAACTCGTAGTAGATTTATTCTCCGGCATAACGATTGTTACGTTGCTGAGCAATTAAAAACGCATGAAAGTTTAAGTATCCATTCTTGGTAGAATATCGCGAATATTATCTCCGGAAATGCTTTCAGCTTTCGCGATTGAAGAGGAAAAAGTTATTATGTATTGAAGCACCTGAAATTATTTTAGTATCTGTTATTTTCATGTCTGACGTAATGTCGTACTTTTTAATTGCAAAGTATTTAGACGCAAATAAATATATTTTCGAATGTTGCATGTTAAAAAGCGTGAAATGTATATAATTAATATTTTGCAAAATATTAAATTCTCTATATTCAATAATCCCGATTTAATGTATAAGAGATTAATGAGAGTTTGATTATTATGTAATTATACTTTTTGTGTATATATGTGTATATATACGCACATACATACATTTATATATTTAAAGTGTGTATGTACATACATACATCTATATATGTGTATATATTTAAAATATGTATATGTTTAAATTCGTAAACGACTGCGCCTACGTGGACGCACATTGAACTGGTGTTGAAATTTTCTTAACTGAGAGAGGTGTACAGAGTATCAAGAGTTACACGCTTGTGCACAACACAATCCTATCATGGCAGTATTATTCATGTGATATTACAACCGGAAAGCCACGAACCAGAAATGGCTCGTAAGGGAAATGGCGGTAACACAATCTACCTAATGATAACTAATACGTAATTCCACACTATTGAAATCGCGCACATTGTTTCGGACATTCGAGGGGCAACACTAATGGAAGAAATCGAGAGCCGTAGCAACAGATTTAATGCCGTGAACAAATAGTTCTATTAACAGCGAATTCTCATCGAATTCCTGGTGAATAGGGAAGCGCATAATTCGATGCAACATTTACATGGTGTTAACGAAGAGGACAATCGAATGGTCACCAACTTTATCATATTACTCTCATAATATATACATATATATATATTACGTGAGTAATGTATAGTTTATGTATTTTAATAATTTTTATTAAATTTTACGAAATCTCGCTTTATGTATGATACGAAATAGAAAGAAAAGTGAAACCGTTTTTCTAATCACTTTTAGCAACGTTTCAACGACATTTTTATTTAATATGCGCTTTCGTTTTTAGGACGAGCTATATTAATTTACATGTAAATAATATGCAAATGGATAGTACATAAAATAACAAAAGTTGCATAATATGATAATGAATTTGAAGCACGGAAATTATCATTGCTGTTATTTATACAAAGAGAAGTTATTTTCAATTTGAGACAACTTGTTTGAAATTCAATCTACCGATTTAATACCGCTGCAAATTATATTGGTACATCTATAGATTAAAATGAGCGTTATCTATATCAATGTAACTTGATGTTTAATATCATATTACTCGCAATTGAATGCGTAAATGTAATCAATGCGCATTAATAATTTTAATGTCGTGTGGCGACGCGGAGTGCAATGTACTTTTTTTTTTGCAAGATAGCTTGCAAGATAGAAAGATTAAATAATATGAAAGAGCTTATCAAGCTGATTTATTTACTTGCTTACATGAATGAATATTTAAATTATGGAATACGTTGATTAATGTGTGCTACATTACGCGAGACAAGAGCATTTTATGTGGCCACTGTAGCATTTGACTATTTCTGAAAAACACATTTTAATAATGAAAAAGTAATAATTCATTTTATTCAGCAATAAATAATTACAAAGAGATAACCACACGCAATTATGAAGTTACGAAACCCTTCGTCTCTTTCACAGCGGTGTATTAATGCTTTCTTTAAAAAGTGTGTTGCTCTTTTACTGCTTAATTAAATAAATAAAAAGAAAGTAAATTAAAATTCTTATTTCAAGAACCTTGTCTGTTCTGCAAAAACTTTCGTACGACTTGCATTCTCGAGAGGAACGTTTTCCACGGAAGAGTGTTATATGCATATATTGCTGATTAAAGAACATTACTATGTAAAACGTATAACAATTAAAAAATATAAAATATAACGTTCTTTTATTCCTCTGCTTTGTTGACCATTTGGTATATTTAATGTTCGTAGACATTATTTTTCAATTGGTGAAAATGATTGTGCTACGTGAATTTTAAAAAACTGCATTTTACTCTATTATAAGTAGTACATACATACATTAATAGTAATTGTCAATATTTCTGATGAAGAAGCGGAAAAATTTATCAATATTGACGTAACAAATGGAACAAACACTTATGGACGTAACAAATTCAAGTAAAATGATTGCTGAGCTTATCAATTTATTGCATTATGGGACAATAATGTTAAGTGAGAACGATATCTTCGAATGATTGAAGCTATATCTATATTGGCCCGTCGTGAAAATCAATAATCAGATTCGCGAGCCTCGGAAATACCGACCGGCTCTGTCGAAGTTTCAACCGGACTGCATACAAGAGGTCGCTAGGAATCGATAAATCAGCTGTTTCGAAACGCGCGGCGTTACACTGTGCCGGTAATGCCGATATCATTCTCGTCTTCGCGGTGTCTCGAGAAGCACAGAGATGGCAACAGCTTAGGGATTATCATTATACCTGCAGTGGACTGTTAACTGTTTTTCTGTTAATCGTAAATGCGATCTGGCACTTGATCTGAAATCTGAATAAGTAAAGCATCGCTTGGCTAATTAATCGAAATGATTAAGTCCGCGCTGAGGCTGGCGAAATTTCCCGGATTACGGGAAAGGGTGTTGGTCGATGGCCGACTGATCCCGGCGTGGGATTTTGCACGTTTGAGTGTCATAACCTCGAGGAATATTTGCACTACTCAGTTGTGCGGCAAGGAGATTCGAACGCTGAATGAAAAATTGCAAGTCGGCCAGACCTCAAAATATGGATTGGTAGAGGGAGAAACTATGCCCGAGACAACCAACGTTAGTCAGCAGTAAGTAACAGTTTCATTTAGTTTATATAAACATTCTGTTGGTTTGAACGTTTTAGTTTTGCGTAACAACTTTAGATTATGTCAAATCTATTTTTACGTACATTATCTCGACTGTATGGATAGAAAAAAAATTATTGTGATCAGTAGAAAAAATGTGCTTTATTAATATTTATTTTTCTTGCTATTGATTACGCAGGAAATGTAACGTTCATGCTTGTTATGTTTCAGGGAGCATCTATTTCCCGATGCAGACACACCGAATCGACTCTTCAATGGTGTACCATATAAGGAAATGCATATTGTCAATATAAAATCAACTCCTAATAATACAATTATGACTTTTACAAACTTTAGTGGCGACGTATTATTGTTGCATTCGGCAGGTATAGAGGGTTTTAAGAATGCTAAGAAAGGGACAAACATTGCTGCTCAACAAGCAGCTATAACTCTTGGTAATGTAAGCATACATTGAATGTAATCCATGTTAAGGTTATGCACATAGAACATAATACATTGTGCTAAACAAGAAAATTGCATTTGTGCATTTATCTTTAAAACATTTGTATATATTTTTCAGCGCATTCTTGAATATGGTATTAACACAGTCAGGATACGAGTACAGGGTATTGGACCTGGCAGAATGGTAGATATCTTACAAAAATTATTTCTTATTTTCTATGTATTATGTGATATATTATCATTGCTGTTGAATAATATATTTTAATATTGAACATTTTATGATTTTTAGTCTTCTATAAAAGGCCTTCAAATGACGGGATTGAACATTGTATCAATTACAGATGATACTAGAGTAAGTTGGGATCCACCACGGCCACGAAAACAAAGAAGAATATAATTATTAGATGTTATAACTTATTATAATTTGAATGTGTTAATACATACTGTAAAAATCTTCCATTATGCGTATTATTTTATCTTTCCAAATTGAAGTACATATTAAAAATGAATTACGATTTTAATAATTAAAGATCGAATATTTTTCGGAATATTTTCCTATATCTTGATATCTTAATTAATTTTAACTGGAACTTGGGATGTCAATTAATTCTAGGGTATTAATTAATTTTATAGGATATTAATTTGAGAGACTTTTTATTATGTTTTTTATTTTTTTATCTTTTATTCGAAACAAATAATTATTCTATAGGTACTTTTTAAATAAATACGTATAATACATATAATAAATTAATTTTTTTTGTAAAAAAATTAATATCTTACAATATACTGTACAATGTGATATTTTATTATTTTATATATATGAGGTATATTTGTTCTTATGTACTATTCTATTTTTCTAAACATGACTAGATTAAATACTTTGAAAGAAGTAGAACTGTTAGTACATATTTTCCAACATCATTCACGATGTTATATTTTTGATTCGATATTATGTTTTATTTTCATAATATATTTTCTCATAATCATTTTTTGTATAACCATTTTTTATCATATTTTATTTTCTTAATTATAATGCAGAAATTTAAATTAAAAGATTATTATTGCTGCACTCAAAATATTTTAAATTATTTTTAACTATCAAAAATTGTTTACATATTCAAATAATTATGAATTATGTCGAAAACTTGCTTTTTTGAAAATGATAGGTATGCAGATTACACATTTATATAATGTTTGCACATTAAATAATGTCTTGCACATTATTAATAATATCAAATCATTTATTCCATTTGAAGACAATTTTTTCTTAGCGAAAATGTTAATGCATCAATGATTTTTGAATTACAAATGATAAGAAAAAAATCTTTTTTAATAAATTAAAATTTCATGCAACAAAATAAATGAGGAAACTACAGCTAATTTTAGATCGGAAGTTAATAGAAATCTTATTTATTATGCAATATAATTTCAGAAATATATCATACTAAAAAGAATTAAAAAAACCCTTATAATAAATCTGCCGCAAAATTTTTGCATAAAAGAAAAATTCTATATCAAAGAATTTGCTGTTAAAAAATAATGTGCATGAGAAAGAATATTTTAATAGTTATAAATAGAATTTTTTAAGTTTTTTGCTTTCTTTTTGTAAAAATAAATCATGATGTATATAATTTTATCATATTGTAAAAGAATTCACAAAATAATTGCACGCATATTTGTAACGAGTGCGTTATTATCGAGTTAATTCAAAAATAAATCTTTATCCTTTTTGTCCATTTCTATAGTATTATACGTACGTATTTTATATTGAATAATGGATATCCGCTCGCTGCGTTATTATCGCATTTTGACAGAAAAATTTCATGCTGAAGTTACTCGTGATCATATATTTCGACATAATTCATAATTATTCGAATACTGTTCACAAATTTTGATAGTTGAAAACTGATTAAAATATTTTTAATGCGGCAATAATAGATAATCTTTTAATTTAAATTTTTGTATTATTTTTTTATAGAAAAAAACATTCTGCAAAAATTTATTTAATATAATAAGTATTTCACCGAACACGCATATACGCACACATACACAAAATTTAATCGATTATTTTAAAGCAGAATCGAATATATGTGGTTTAACACAATAGAAAAATTATACATATATTCGAATATTCTATATAAAATAAAAAATTATGAATTATTTACATCTGTAACTTATGCATCGCATTATTACATGTTACAAATTTGCATTTTTAAATTTGATTTTTCTATGAAATATACAGATTTAAGAGAATTTTTTATTTTAAAATAGATTTAAATTTAAATAGATCTTAAACTGTTAACAGTAATTTCAATAACACATTAATTTCATTATCAGTAACACATTAATTATCAAATATGAGGAAAGACATTTCACATTTGTATGCAAAATAACATCGATGCATAACATCGTTGATATTTTTTAAAATAAATATATAAGATAACATTCTAATTACAACATAAATACATTTTGGACATTTCAGAAAAGCTGTTAACGTCTATCGTCACATTTGTTATGTTAGACTAACTGACTTTCGATATTTTGCGAATACAATAAAAATAAAAATCATTGGTAACGCTGTTATATAACAGATTTTAACAGTTCAACTGTCGCCTGACTTTTTCTACTTGTATTAACTATGATACGTAAGCTAAAAAAGGTCACTGATTTGAATAAAATGTCCGAATCATTGATGCGATGCGTACATACCGCATATAATCGAACTTGCTGTTAAACAGAATTGTTAAAACAGCGAGACGGAAATTCGCATTTTCTTTCACATTGAAATTTATCGGCCAGATTGTGCTTCTTGCGTGATCCAAGAAATGTAATCAGAGACTCTCACGTAAATGCCAGGAAGTCGTGATCTGCTGCAGCCAATACCGTTCGAAACCACCCCGATCACCATCAAGGGCCCGGCTGGGTAACTTCCAACCATCAGAGGCCCGCCGCTGTCAGCCTAGAATAAAATACAGGATACGTGCAATCGTCCCGTAAGCTTCCGCGGTTATGGTAAACGTTGCGGTGCGAATTCCACTTGCTCTAATACGGATTGCAGGGTTGCGGGAGTATCCATCACAATGGGTTTCGGTATCGTTCCACACGGATCCGGATCGTAAATCTCGTCGCTAGAAATTCTCAAGATGGAAACGTGCTTTTAACGGCATCACGTTTATTGTCACCGGTATCTCACGCAGTGCGTTAATATCGTTTAAACAATCTAAAGAATTTATATATTGCGCTTTTCTTCCATTTTAAAATGGAAAATTACACGAAAAAAATTTAATTATTCATGATTAAAAAATGTCGGCGTTCCGACATTTTTATTAAAGAAAAACAATAGTTCTATACACAGAACGAGTGTCTCTTGTTTGTCTAATTCGCTAAAATGTTCCTATTATTGGACAATGAAACATGACTTTCCAGAGAGCACACAGAGTTCAAAAAGAATTTATTCCTACATTCAGTTGTTTGCCATCAATTTTGAGTTTATTTTCAGGTGCACAAAGAGTTCTTTTTCAGAATTTTCAAAAAAAAATTCTTTTTACATCCGAAAATAAATTTATAATTTATGATATATGACTGAGTGAGTTCTTTTAAAATGCTCTGTGCTCTCTGAGGTTGAATCTATTACTTTTTTTACTAAAATTTTTAAAACATGGTTAAATTGTAAAAAATGAACGCATTACGTATTGAAATCTCTCTCGTTCAGTTATTAAAAAGATATCTGAAATTATTAGAGGAATAATTGATCATCTTTCGACGCGCTAAATATATAACATTCTTCAACTGCAATTCGTGCTACATCCAATATATCTTAAAATCAATTTTTATAGTTGCCAGTCGTATAGTTCTCGCGCAAACGAGGTAAACAGGAAATCTAGCACATCTCAATTCCCATCGGAGCCTTCAGCGAGATTGTACTTTCGAGACTCCGTTCCTCCTTGATATATCTCGAAGCAATACGTCCGTTTTCGATTGTTTTCTCGGGAATATCTTCGTTTGGAGGAAATATAAATTGCTGATAGGGACACAGGCAGAGACGCGGCGAAGGAAACTTATCGGGGACAAGATCGAGGATGGTATTCTCATTTTTGTTCCGATGGACGCCGGACTTGGTAATGTCGTGGTGGGATTCCCGTGGGAGTTGCCTTTGCGGAAACTGCTGTTAGTCTCAATTGACGACGTGAATTTAGTACTTGCGTGCTGGGGATGGTGTGTATCTCATCCCCATTAAGAAGGATGCGGGACAAGGGAACAGAAAGGAAATCATTGACTCACAAATTATCATGATACAATGATAGCGCGTATACCTGTTTCTTACAATGAAAGAAAACATAATTTCTAGATGTAATATGTCTAGAATTATATCTAGAGAGATAATATAATTTCTAGATTAAATAGAATGTGCGCATATGCGCTATAGTAATATTCAAAAGGTAGAATTGCTTCTAATCCCTATATTAATTTTTTTTTAAATACTTGCAAATTTGTTTCATTTATTGTATAAAATTGAATCACTAATTATTAAAAGAAAATGATTTTTCTTGCTACGTATATGTACTTGATGTAAAATAATTATTTATTTTACATCGTTTTATTCTTTATTCTCCATTCTTAACGCAAAAGTGAACTTTTGTCAAAAATATTCTTCTGTGTCTTATATATATGGAACAATCAAGACGATAACATAGCTTATACGATACTTTTCGTTCTTTTAATAAACGTTATCGCTCCTTCTCCAGTCCCCTGTTACAATTTCGCATAAATACCGGCCCACGTTGGAGATCCGCAGAGCGAGGCCAATGCAATTATATACGATCCAATTACCGGGGACCAGTATCATCCAGCATGGTCGGCTATCATGCCTGAACAGCATTGTATTCGCATTACCACGGTAGCGTGGGTATTTATTGAAATTCGCGTCGTGCCCGCCCGACGAACCATGAATTCCATGATCGGACGATTGACAAGCGGCGCCGAGCGAGCAACGATGCGGGAACGCAAAAAATGCGGTATGCCCACACGCGGACGTTTCGCACGAACCGGAAGGTGAATTCGCGGCGGACGTCTTTTTCACTCTTACCCAACAAGCGTCCTTTCCGCCTTCCTCCCAGCCAGCACACATTTGCTTCGTTCCAACGCTGACTGACTTGCCCTGACTCGCGTACCATTCGCCACATACGGTGTTCGTCACCACGCGAACATCCACTTTCTGCAGCACGTCCGCTCTCTTGTCTGGAATATAACAGCGATTTGTTTGCTGCAACTTAATGAACAGATTACTGCCAACATTCGTCGTTGACTTAAGACGGGATTTCGAATGTCATTAAAATAGACCTAGCTCGAACTTGTCGTAATGACGTTCGAGAAAACATTTTCAAATCATCTATTACAACGTTAAAATCTAAATATTTATGAGGTTTAAATTTTATAAAGATGCGTGTTTAAATATAAACGAGTATTATGTTGCTGACACACATCATGAAACACTGTTGTACTGCGAAGCGTTATTCACGAAAACAAAACAAGCGATATTCCCATGAAAAGCGATGATATATTTTAACGGATAAATTTAATTAATAATAATTACTGCACATCTCGTTTATATTATAACCTAGTGTTGTTGCATTAATTATAATATCTAAAATGCTTTGCAATTTTAACATAAGAACGTAATTAATATCTATTTAATGAGTCTAATTAATTATATCAATTTAAAGTTGATTATAACATGCAAAATATTAATGTCCCAAATAGCAAAATGCTAACAGTATGCCAGCAAATTCGATTATGATTTTAGAGCAGATTCATATCCACTGTGTCTTCTTTCTTTCATTACATCTTGCTAGCATAATATAACAACAGAAATGCAGCAGAAATGGAGCAGACTTTGCCGTCACGATGTCGTAATGCAATGCTCGTTTTCTAATTTTCTACCGATATTAGGAAAACGGCAGACTGCAGTGCTCGGTTGCTGCCAAGTTCTACTAACATAATATGCGGTACCTACACAATTTGCAATATATGCTCTTGGCAGGCTATCTGAGGCTAAATTAGATAATTTTTTACATGTTATAATGTATTAAATAGTTTTGTTTATTAAAATATCTATATATATTAAACCTCTTTTGTATTGAACATAATGTATAACGTACAAAATTTTTAACGATTATATAATTAACGATTCAGATTCAAATAACTATTTTGTCAAAATAACGTATACTTCTCTTTTATAAGTAAAATGACCTTGTCCATTTTATTGATTCCAGCGAGAGATGGAGAGAGAGTTCGTATACTTCCATGGGACTTCAACGCTTACGGGAACTTTGGTGATTATGGAAACTTCAGCTCGTGTTTCGTCGCTTCGATCGTTATCGTGATAAGATTTATCGAAACTTCAGGCTTAGCAATATATCTCAGGTATTTATGAAGACCCTGATAGTCGCAACTTGGTCGACGATCGAGTAGGACCTTTATACGTACCCGCCCCGTTCCCAACAAGAATTCATTCACCACTCCTGAATTATGCAATCACGGTCGCGTAAAAAGATACGAGGATAGTCTCCACTTTGTTGATTATTAGTAAGCGACAAAAATCGAAAATGCGCGAGCACCGATGACGCGAGATTAAATATTTCATAATGTTTGAAAGGAAACTTATTTTCTTTTATACAATTTCTTTTTTTTTATAATTGTTTTCTTTTTTATGACTTATATATTGGACGGTATTGTGCGACGAACTGCATGCAACTCCTGAATGCGAGGTTACGTGGTGGTAGTTATTATTTTATAGATAGTGACATTTGCCAAGGTATCAAAGTACACGGAATAGCCGACGTAATGAAAGCTAACCCCGGGGCGTCGTCGTTCCGTACGTAATCGGTATCGAAAGAGGGACAATTATTTACTCACATTTGCTTCTATCTTCGCCGAGCCATCCCCAACCGGCAACTACAGCATCCACTCCGCCAAAGGCGCTGTACCCTGGTTTCCCTGTGGCCACAGGTAAACATGCGGGTTTCACGCTTTCCGACCAACTGATCGGTCTAGCGAGCTCCAGCAGAGCAATATCGTCCACATACTTGCCGCACTTGTGACCAGGGTGCAACACCGCGTTTATGACGCTTTCATGTTTTGCGGCAGGCACTTCTGGAGCCCTTAAATTGTGCTCGCCCAGAGTGACGCGCAATTGTCCTGTTGGAATCTTGTTCGGGCCGCTGAAATTGAAGCGAAAACGAAAGATTTAATTCGCGAACGATATACGCCGTATTTAGCACTATTGAGTTTTCCTCTTTTTTTTTCTTCTGAGAAGGCATGTGCTACAGAATGCGAGAAGCATAAATTATAATTTGTTATATATCTATAATATAACAATACTTAAAAACAGATTCCTGAGAAACTTAAAAATATATATACTTATATTATAGTCATTATGGTAGGATTCTCATCAAAATAATATCAGGAATCTATTCTTAGGTGTTCTGATTTTTATGGGACACTTTGTAATATATATTTTTTTGTTAACACGATAACAATATATAAAATATACTTAATTACATAAATTTGTAATTACATATATATACGTATATACTCAAAATTGAAGAAATTCTGTTTAATTCTCTTGTTTTTGAGACTCTTGTTTTAAGACAATAATCTAGAACATAAGAAACAGTAACATATTACGAAAAAGAATAATAATGTGCATTTCATGATGTAAAATTATAACATAAATGATGCAAAATAGATAAAATTATTACTGCGTTAAAATAGTTACTGCAATTATTATAGTCAAATAAAATTTTAAAAAAAGTTAGCGTAAATGCGCAAGTCTTATATACATATACATATTTTTTTTTTGTCGCGTATAAAAATCCACTGAAAAGTTTGAGATAAATAATCTACATATCTTTTAATATTTTGGAAACTTTGAAATGTTCGATTTTTTTATACGCCTCCCATAAAAATCTTTATTCTTGCATCGTGAAAGTCGTAAAAGGAAAAACAAAACGGTATTTCTTATTTTTTCTTTAGTTTTTTTTTGTAAGAAGGATCCAAGTCTGACACCGGAATGACACCAGCGAGTAATCATCGCACAAGTTTAAGGCACCGAGAATAGAAATATTCAAGGCGGAAAATCCTTTACCATCGATGTATCCTCTCCTATTTCTTTCCCCCTAAACCCTCCTCGACGGTGCCGACGAATTCCAGCTCTTTCGCAGTTTCTTTCCCTTGGACGTCAGTAATTATTTAACCGGGATTTTTGTCCCGCTCGAACGACGCGTCTGCAGAGCTCCCTTGAATGCCTGACCCGGCCGGAGTGGCTTCAGTTAATTAATCGGTCTATAGTACCTCTGAATAATTAACAATATTACGGCACCCCCTCCGTCAGGACTATCCGCTCCATTTTCGCAAGCCCGTATACCGTCCCACTTTCGTCAGTAACCCCTTGCACATCTTCCCTCACGCTCTTCTGGAGTTTATCGCGGAGCGTTTTCTAAGTTTCCAGGCCCTGTTTCGCCGTCGCTCCTTACAAAGCCGCTTTAATGGACCTTTCTATCGTCGTCGAGTCCCCCGCTATTGTTCCGCGGCTCACGGATTATACGGTTTACTTTCAATGCATCTCCGGCACTCGCTTCTCTCTCCTCGGCGCGCGGCGCGGCGTGGCGTCGCGTCGCGCCCTTCCAATTAAAATGCACGAGCGCTCAGACGGATTGCAGCGAGAACGTTGCTCGTTGCGACGAGATGCATTGCGACGGCCGTTACAGCAATGCTGATTTGTTTAGAGAAACGTTTAATATAAGCCAGCGTTTATTATGACGAACATTCGCTCGAGATAGACCGGCAACTCGGTTTATGAAACATTTACTTTAAATACATCGCAGAATTTGTCATCACAATTGAATTCTCATGCTTTATTACTTTCTTCTGTTCAATGTGTATGTTTTGTCAGATCTCATTATAACAATGAGTGGAACAAAATATATCTCTTCATATAAATTTTAACTATGATTCACGACGAATGAGATATCAGTATAAGCCATTTGATTATCAAATATTTGTAATATCTAAATACAGATGTTATGAATATTTAATAATTACGTGGCTATATATTTACATAGATATATTTACATAGATATATGTAAATAATTATATTTGCTTTATTAACCGTGCGATTACTCTGTGAATCTAGCACTGCTAAAAAAAAATTCGACTATATACGATAATTAATTATAAGTGCTCATTTATTGCTCTAATCGCAAATTTATTGCTCCTACCCATTCGCAAGAAATTAATATCAAAAGTGAGCTGATTTCACGTTACGCTAGTACTGTCACTCCTATATAAAATAACACGTACAGAGTACTATGTATAAAGAAAAAAATAAGTATTTAACAATTTTTGTTACCTTTTGGTCCAAGATATTGCAAAAAAACATCGAGAATTTTGAATATTGCATCTTACTCTTATGCATGCGCTAGCACCGTCATACTCCTGATGGAATTTTTAATTTAAACGAAGAGTAATAAATTCCGGACTGGAATATGGAAGAACTAGTAATTCTAGAAACATTTGAAGATCAAAATTAATGTAGCAATTAATTTCTTTAATGTACTTTACTCTTGCACGTGCGGAAAAATTCTATCCATTTATTGCTCTTTGTTTAAGTTAACAAACGCCACCAAGAATGGCGGTGTTAACGATACACACGAGAGTAAAGTATATTAAAGCAACTCCATTAATTTTGATTTTAAAATGTTTCTAGAATTATTTGTTCTTGAAATATCTTATTGTTAGTTCGGAATTTATTACTTTTTGTATAAATTAAAAATTCCTTAAAAGATGTGACGATGCTAGCGCACGTATAACAAGAGTAAGGTACAATTTTTTTGCAAAAAAAGTAACGTACACTTTTTTGTTTATCGAAATGACAAATGGAACGTATAGGAGAGAGTCTCGCGTGCGATATATAGGCCTTTATTAAAATATCATCTATTAAAAATAAATTAAAACAAAGGTTAATTAAATATATTACCGTAATAATTGTATCCTTCTCTCATTGCACGAATAATATTTACTATCCGGGGACTATGACTGATTTCTTCTACGGGCGGCTTCGTTAAAAATTAATTGGACGCCGAATCGGTAAATCGATTGGAATTAATTTCGGTCCAGCTCGTTAAATCGTGCGGCTCTCATGGTACTAGTATATCGGCACACGAACGCGTCCGTGAATTACGCAACGTTGCACGCAGAATGACGTTAGTAATAAGGTACTGCTGAACATTAATTTACCGTGGGATATCGTCGAACGAGAAATATCGACGCTGCGTCGCTAGGCTGCCAGTTCTTGTATCGCTATACAAGGACATAATTCATATCTGTTTGCGTGACGATTAATCAACCGTATTATTCACAGCGCGCGTATTGTATTAATAGTAATTGGTCGCCGCGTCATCAGTTCGATAGAACAGCGCGTTATAATTTGTTTAATCATTTATTAATCTAACGAATTGCATTTTCGACGCGTACAGCTTATATCACATACAAATATCAGCACTATTCTCAGATGGAAATTTTTTTCGGATAGTAAATGTTATTCGGTAAAATAGTTCCAATTTTACGCATTTTTAGACATGCAATTTTAAACAACAAATTTTTGGTCTGTTTACAAAACATTCAAAGACTTAAATTCTATGACGTTCAAAAGAGATGATTGAATACGATGGAATGCTTTTATTTAACAAATAACTTGAATTATATGACAATATTTCTAAACCGATTATTCACTGTTGCATTTATATATTAGCTGAAATGTCTAAAAGTGCCAAGCGGAAGCTGCAATGAATTTTATCCTAACTTTTTTTTCTCGATACACGATAACAAGGGATCTAGTCGCCATAAATTTGACGCAGCGAGGCGTTAGATATCACTGGTGAGCGTCGGGTTGTCTGTTTTTGCGCGTAAATGATACCAAGCGGTGAGAAAAACTAAGGGGAGGAAGGAGGGGGACGAGGTAAAGTGAGACGATAGTGGACACAGCCACCTTCATTTTCACGCCCTCCTGCCTCGCATCTTGTTGCAACGTTTTCCATACGTTTTGCATGGCCGCTAGCAATTACCGAGTGGTCTGTAATCTACACGCAATCATGGTTTACAACGCCAAAGCTCGGCGCTGAATTCTCTCTACGGCCGCTCGTCGCCCCTGAACGGCCCCTATCGTCCTCCTCCCCATCCCGTCCTTCTGTAATCTGTCCAGTGACCGAAAGGGATACGCAATATCTGTACGTTTTGTTGCCCACCCAACTATGGGTCTGCTCGCGCGTTTAATTATATCTACACGAAAGCTATCCTGCATATATCGCTGCTGCAAACTCGTCTGTCGCGCAATGATAGCGATTCATTTATAATGCGCATGGTAAAAAGAGAGACTCATTCAAATTTCATTCGCTCACTTTAACTTATTGCTATAGTATACTGTCGCAAGCAAGAGTTGTAAGTCTAAATAGATTTTCAGTGACATACAACGAATAATATTTTGCAAATACAAAATTTACAATTAACTTTTTGCAGTGTCTATACATATATATTTTTTTTTATTAGAAAGTCTATATTCAGAGATTAATTACCAAAACGCTGATAAATTTTATGCAAATACAGCTTGAGAAATTTTTGCTTGTTTTTATTTGAAACTTTTCGTTTCACATAACACGATAAAAATCACATATGGTGTATATTTTATATATTTATATGACAAGCAGAGAAATATTTCTGTGACAGTTAAATTTTACAGTAACTTTTTTGTCAACCATTATTTTTGTACGTGCGTATCAAGTTCTTTTTCCTTTGAGAAACGATTTATTTTCTATAGTATAGCAGCAATTTTTTTAAAAACGATCGTTTGCAAATAAGATAAACTTGCGCATATCTTATATAATTATAAATTTAAATAATTACTGACTATTTTATATATGTACATATTATATAACCTGAATTTTTAAAAAATTTCCAAATATATTTTAAAATATATTGATAAAATGTAAATCTAGTTACATATTAAAATTGAGAATCAATGCAAGTCTCCAAATTAATTTTATTATTTTATTAATTAAAAACATATAAAATTAATTTATCTTTTTAACGTATTGAGACCTATTACAGTTTATTGCAAGATTTTTCAAATTTTAACATTAAATGTCTGACCGATTGAACGATTAAACTTTGAAAAGAATCAAACTATTATTATTACTATTGTTAAATACATTGACAAAATCCTAATATATATCAAAATTCTCGATAACAAATGGAATATTTTGGCACATAGATAACTTTTGAGATAATAATCAGGCCTCTGGCGGATTTAACAAGATTTAATATGCGAGTATCCTATTAAAAGTTGTCAAGAAATTGTAAGTTTCAGATCGACCGTTGAAATTAAAGCCTACTTCGTAAAGGACTTAGTCTTTACAGAGTCTATGTACTCCGTTAATGAAGATGCATCTTTTGAAAACTTGTTACTGAAGTATAAGCAAAATTAAAGACATGCTGTGTTATATTTTAGGTTTATGCCACTAATATTATTCATTTATACGTAATTTTAATTTTCTTTGTACGCACATTTATTACCAAAATAAAAATTAATAAAAAATTAATACATTCAAATACATAAGTATATCAAATATATATTGAAATAATTATGTACAACAAATCTAGATTTTCTGCTGTATACAATATTTATTTATTTATTTCAACTTTGAAAAATTTCTAACTAACAATAAGCTGATTAAAAAAAAATTATTTAATATAAAGATTAAGTAGGAATTTAAACATGTTTTATTTAATGTAAATATTAGTGGGGATTTAAACGCGTTTTAAATCATTTATGATAAATATTTTTTTATGGTAAACGGTAAACCGTCAATTTTGATTAAAGAATATAAAAAAAATATTTTACAATTTCTGTATACAATACAAAATGCAGCGTTACAACTTATAATACACAAATTATTAAAACGCAGATTACTCACGCACATAAACAGTGTCCAGCAGTTAAGACGTATCGGTCATTTAAAATGACACCACCGCAAAAATGTCCGCCTTTTCTTGTTATGCTCACCAACCATGGAAATTCACGTGGAGCCGCGTCCTGACCTCCGACAATCCTCGCTTGTGGTGTTGTCCTCTCACTCCTACCGCACGGAACATCTGCCACTATCAAATACGGATTTCCTCGATTAATGCTCGATAACGATTAATTGCCTTGGCGATCTTGTTGCGAGACCTGGCGCAAACGCCCGACTCGCCCGACATACCCTGAACCGTCAATGTCGATCGATAGCGACACGATCTTAGACGCCAGCTCGATCTCGCTTCTTCTTTTTGTCGCGCAAATGAAGCGAAGACGAGTATCGGCACACTGAAAGTGTCTAGGGGGAGTCGCCGAATCGGGCAACGCGCTGTGTAATCTATTTAACGATACTCTTAGCGAACGCCATTGTCTGGCCGTTCCCCTTCCATCTTAATAAGACAGAAAAACTTCATGGGATTAATTGGACATCCAATTAACGCGTCGTTTCTTCAATTAGTGCCTTTTTTCCATTCTCTCGTCTCTTATACATTTCCATGCAAGAGAATTTACCATCACCAGCTTTCGATGAATAATATTCACAAATCCCGCCGTGTTATAAATATATAGGAGATCCTATTTTGCATGCAGTCTTTCTCTTCTATATTTTTTATTACTTATTTCACTGCCAATGTTGTAATTTACTGCATTATGTTTATTTAACGCTTTTTTGATTAGAGCAAATTGTTCGCGAACGCGTGGAAAGTTAAGAGAACCGAGAGTCGCCTAAAATATCGCAATTATTATCAAATGCTATTGGTATCGGTCCATGTTTCGATTATTCCGATCCGCAGGGAATTACCATCTGCACTCTTGTTGACGAGAGCATATTGACAGGTTATCGATCGTCCTTAGTGTTTGATGATTAATGTTCGTGACGTGGCGTAAATGAGTGGAGCGACTTCCATGTATAATAGTATAACATCGGAAGACGAGTGACAATGCGATAAATTTTAAGGATGGGTGTAACAGAATCCAATCGTAAAAAATGTTTTACTGAAGATTGTACAAATAATTTCGATAATGGAATTTTTTTGAAGAGAGATTCACGATGGATTATAAGTATTATAAGTTAACATTTATAATTGTCGTATAAATATTTTAAAATATCAAGGGAAACGTATTTAATAAACAGTATTGATTGTCATTTTAAAAAATTTCGAAAAAATTCGCTTTCTATTGGTGCAAAAAAATGTACAATTTTACAATCCTCTTCGCGTATGCCGAAGCTGCCATTTTTATCAGAACTTAATTGAAACATTATGAGAAATGATTATTAATATGTTATATTAATTGTAGAAAAGTAGAAATGTCGATAGAGTTGTGTATCAACATCAATTAAAAGAAAGACCATTTACTATTACGTCGATACAATAAATGCGATCACCTCAAAATGGCGAAGGCGCGTTCGGCTGCAATTGGCGATTATAGATCGTTATATCGCAAGCAATAGTCATAAATTGTGTTATTAATTAATAATAATTAGATTGCACCAATTATGTCGAATTGTAATTGATTCGGCTATTATTGTAGAAAGGACATAGAAAAGGTCTTTTCAATGGTTTGTTATTGAATATTTCAATTCACATAAATTGTTATTAACAAAACACAATTCAAACGTTTTCAATCGTTATGTATTTTCAAATTTGTAAAGCATCTTACTAGAAAAAAAACAATAATTGATTTCTCCAATTACGAGAGAATTAATTCATACTTTTCTATGATTGATTTAAATTGTATCTATGTGCGTACTCACAAGACAAAAATAATAACAAATAATAACTCAATCAATTTCACGAGCAATATATGTTCTTGAGAGTAATGTATGTTATAACTTTTTCATATTTTCGATTGAACTCGAAGAAATTGGAGAAAGTGCATTCTTAAAATCTGTCCTGACGTGACCTGATCGGCACGGCGCGTCTGATTGTGCTGTGTTTAATTGAAACCCGAAATTGCCGCGTTACCGAAATGTTAACCGATTCGAGTGGATCCTCTCCTGTGGCACAGCGTTTGGCGTCACACGGATTTAATGCCCCGAGCAGATAGGGACAGATACGGCGGATCTGTCACTACAATCGCTGCGACGTCCCTGCCGCCCGCGCCGCGCGCGGAATACCCTCCCGGTTACCCTCTTCCCTGTACCTCTCATCGTCCCTCTCGAACCCACCCACAAGTCGATCCCCCTCTCGTTTCACGCCCCGACTGATTAATTGGACCTCTACGCCTACACACCACCACACTTCCCCTCGTTCCCGGCCGTCGCTCTTCCCCAACGGGCGAGGAAAGCACGTCGAATCGGCCGAGAGGGAGGCGTTGGTAGCACAGAATTCGAAGTCGCCTCTATTCCGAAACGCGTAATAGATATGTCAAAAGCAGCCTGGGGACGCGATCATGATAATACGACCGAAGCCTCAGTTTGGTGACCAGGTTTGGCGCGAAGGCAAACCGTTTATCCTTCTAGTTGAGTCGATTGTGCTCGGGGAGTGTCGAAAAGAGCTCGCTTTCTTTCTCTTTCTCTCTCGTGTTTTTGGAAATGCCTGGCTGTGCCGTAAATCGGCGATATCTTGACAGCCGAAGTCGCAGTGCGCTTATTGTATTGGCAAAATAAATCGTATACAAACCCACGAAGACTCATGATGCCCTGCATGAAACGTCATTATTGTGCCGAGTGACGAGCATACACGTATTTATTGTGCGATGTGCGTTTGTAACTGATTGGAACGATTATGGGAGAGAAATTCAAATAGCATATGATTAATATCAAATGTCTTTAATGACATCGTTCGCGCGATATATTTTGCCGTGTATACGTTAGATATGAAGGAGATTAAATTTCGTTCGATATTGATTCTCTGCCAACGATAAGATAAATCTGGAGACAACCGCGGACATCTGTCGGAACAATTTCGAGCTCGATATCTCACCTGGAAAACCAACGAGATAAAGATGTGCTTTGCAGATTACTCACTAATTATATCAAGTGTTCTCTCTGGGCCAATTTAAAATGTTACAAATCCAAAATCTGCACCGTAATTTAACGCGACGACGTTTTAAAGGGAAGCGTTCCAATTTTATCGATGTTAAGAGTAATGTACTTATCTATATATCTCACCGATAATTCGCTTCCCCCTGCCAATAAATTCGTTATCTCTTTAATAAGCAAGGCATACAAATTGTTTCCTGTCAAACATCCATAATGCTCGAGATAGTGCATTATATTTTCATGATTTATCATATTAAATGCATATTTTAAAGAAAAAAATTTAAAGAGGACAAACAGTCTTTTTACAATCAGAAAAATATAATAAATTCTGAATGCATACTAAATATATCTCTATAATTTATGTTGTATGACTAAGACGCAATAATGGATGTTTCGTGTCGTCTTTTTTCTGTATCTTCTTTAATAAATCGTGAGTTTGCTGGCATTAGAAGTTTATGGAGTCTTCTTGTGGCCTCGAGCGGGTTAAGAACCTTCCTGATACCGTCATGATTTTAACATTGAACGGTCGTTGACAAAATCTGGAGTTACTCAGCTACGCGCCGAGGTCGTGTACTTCCCAGTTTCTGGCCTTCGACGAGGCTTATCCGTTAATTCTTCTATTTCGCACACGCATTCACTTTTTGACCGTGAAAGAACAATTCAGTGCCAAAAATGCAACTAGTTATTTTTTTTCTTTTAAATAACCTGAAACTACTCGTACCGTTTATTACTACTCGTCAAGTTTATTTCCTCAATTTTGAGCACTTTCATGAAATATGTCATTACTTTTTCTGTTAGCGGTAAACCACATTTTTTTCGATTTTCGATACGGCAATATATTCGAACGGTTGTAAACGTACGGCGACGTAACGGCAACGTAATTTGCTCGCACACGTAATTTGTTTATCGACCGAAATAACGGTAGTTTTCGAGCCAAATATTTCATGCGCGGAATATTTTTCCATGTAATACCGATTACCTTTTATTTACAAATCGCTGGATTTAAAACGAGTCAACCGAGTTTCTGAAAAATATTTTAATAATGTTAAGGTATATATTTATGCAAAATAAATAACATATGTGCCACGAGCTCCGGGCATAGAATTTCGGAAAATAATATAATTTGTTTAATGGACGCCAGATGCTGATTACGACCTGCGGAATGGTAATAATTATCAAAATTTTATTCAGTTCTCGGCGATGGCATGAAAGAGTAATTATTTTTAACGTTGTATCGTACCTGCCCTATGTTGCATAATCTCGCGGTTGATTATTCAGTCACGATGCGTAAAATTAATGTTTATAACAATCAATATAATTGTTCAGCGAAGAAACGGTTGGTAGGTAGTTATTGATCTGATGAATAAACCACTTTGCTTTGCCTCCACATAATATAGAGCCTAAATATTTGATAGAAACGACCGTTTTATTGTCGGTGAAACAAATAATTACCTTTATTAAATTCACCCGGCGCCGGCGCAACCGTCTGATGTTTCGCGCCAAAGAGTGAATTGTAAACGAGATAATGACACTCTATACAACCTGCATTATGCACCGGGACGTGTTGTTCAAATAATCTATCAACGCGCTGTCTCTGGCACGGGAGCTTTTTCGGACGTAAATCAACATGGGAGACAATTTTTTGCGGAGCGTTAATTCCATCATTTTTTCCATGCGCATGCATTTTATCTCGATCGCCCGGTCGGTTGGTTGTCGAAATTTGACGCGCGGAATGAAATATTTACCCATCCTTGTATCTACTTGTTTGAAAAAAGGCAGAATACGGTCGATATTAAAAGAAGATTATAAATTATGCCAAAATCTATTAAAAGTATGTTTTGGTAAAAAGAAATTGAAATTCTCTACAAGATTTGTCTTTAAAGAATCTTTTGATACTTCTGATCTATGTATAATGTTGTCTTATAATCTGCTAAATGTTATTACATTTTTTAAACAATCGGTTATGTGAAAATCAAACCAAGTCTAAAATTCATTAAGGTAAAATTCATGAGGTGCAATATTTAACAAGATATACATTTTATCTATGATCAGATAGATTACACATTGGATTACAATTATGTGATCACAAGGTCTATTAGCCACATTAATTTGATGTGATTAGTTATATGCTCGGTATATTAACGTTTAGCCTTGATTACGAGTATTGTCTATTGCATCAAATGCTTAAACAATGATAAAACAGCTTATTGCAAAATAGTGCACCAAAAATTAAAGATAAACACTTATTTTAACTAACAATAAATACTTTTTATAATTGATATTATAATCACAGATCTTGAAGTGATTTTGTATATTAATTAAAATAAAGAAAGATTAATCTAAATTATGCCAAACATGTGCTTGAAATTAAAATAAAACAGTAAATGTTGTAATACTTTAAAAACAAACGTTTTTCGAGAATATAAATAAGGATTAGATCGATCCGTCATATATTTTCTCCCCTCCCATCATCTCTTTTGTTTCAGTTTCTCATTAAGTCACTCTCGAGTATTGGTTGGCAGTGGGAAGCGAATATTCGCTACGCTAATGGCGAACACTAAATTCGGTTTATTAACTTCCGGTGTTCCAGCGTAATCCACAAGCTTCTATTCCGAATTCTCCATTGACTTCCGCTCATCGTCTAATACCTCCACTCCGGCTAAATGGACGCCAACCCACAGAAAAGCTCGACAGCGACCGTTGTTGGCCGATCGTCGAGCGGCACTGCGGCAACGAATCGCAGCATAAAATGCATCTAATAATTCGCGAGAACTATTCCAACCATTAGAAAATATCATACATTTCGGTGTTGCCTGCGATTTTGCAACGAGATCGTCGATTTATAACAAATTTCCTCTACATACCTTCTATTATACCCTATTTGGCAATTATTATCGTTTATTTAATGTATTTTTATAATCAAATTGTTTTACATATAAATACATGAATAGCTGCTAATTAAGTCGAGGAGTAACAAATTATGCCATGGCATCTCGTCGCTTTATCCCAGCGTTGCTCTCGCAAATAATTCGATAATTTCATTAGAGCTTTTAGCAATGCAAAATATTATAAAATTACGCGTTCGGAAAAACAATTTTCCAATTTCAACACTACCTTTATGATACGTGATACGTGTTTCATTTGTTAAACATAAAAATTGTTTACTCCATATAAAATATCAAATGTGTTAAATTTCTGATTCCTGATACATTCTAGTTACTAGTACATTGGTACCGACCAAATTATAAAGTTTTTTTTATTTATTTCGCTCAGGAATAACTGATCCGCACAGCCATTTACGCTTAGCGAATCTATAGTTAATTTTGTGAATAATAGTACAGTAAATAATTAAAGAAAAATAGAAGCAAAAGATAATCTAATTTAAAAAGAAGAAAAAATTTTGAAGTCTCTACACGTATCTGTTAAAAATTTTTTATTAAAAGTGCAACAAAAATTAAGATCTCGTTAATTTTGTTCTATTCATATTTTGGATAATGTAAAAGTTTTCTTATAATCAATTACATGTATATAGTATTATATATATATATATATGTATATATATATATAATACTATACATCTAATATATATATAATATATATGAATAGAACAAAATTAACGAGATCTTAATTTTTGTTGCACTTTTAATTTAATAATATATATGTATATATATATACACATATATATTATTAAATTATACATTGTTTTATATATAATTATATATATATATACAAAATAATAAAAATAAACGTATACCGTTTAACAATATAAAGCAACAGAAAATTTAAAAGATTACAAGAATTTATCATTAAAATGTTAGATGATATATTTAAGAGTTATTTTAAGATTAAATTGATTAATAATTATAAAAGATATCAGATAAGATTTCAAAAGTTATCTCATTTGCAATTATAAGTTATCTGTTAATTAATATAAAAAAATGATTAACAAAGGGTCATTTTTTTTAAAGAAAAATATTTGATAGTTGTATAATCAAAGAAGTTGAACACGATCTATTTGAAAAGTTAAAATAACACAATTATTCAAACTTCTCGAAATAATAACCAAGTGAGGTATGCTGCATAATACGCGCGTCACGCAGTAAATAAGTTTTCGAAAAATTAATTGCAACGGGAATAGTTGGCGAGCTTCTCAGAGTTTCGAGTGAACTGACTAATACAGAGTTTGCCATAGATGTTGTGTAGTTTGATAAAGTAAGTTTGCTAGCTAAACTTTGAGAACCACAGAAGAGGCTTTAGGTTCCACTTCATGGATAGCTACGAAAATAAGTGCGCGGGAGCGACTCCTGGCGCGTGATAGTAGGTACACATGCTTTATGAACATTTTGTTATTACTATTACAGCGCGTAATAAGACACTGCATGACATCATATTTCGAGTTGCACGCTAGCAACGTCAAATAATAACATTCGCGTAATTGGAGAATAAGAAATGTAATATACAGAATTGAAAGCATAAAATGTATAAACGTAATTTGATGTCGTTATTACAATGGTATATTTACTGTTATAAGAAAATTGCAATGTTTCATAAAAGGAGATGTCTTTAGTAACAATTTTATACAGTAAAAGTTGTTAATCGTCGTAAGGACTTTTTTGAGAGAGAGAAAGAGATTAAAACGAATTAAGAAAAATAATTCTTGGTTTAATTATAGGAATAAAAATGTTTATGTAATTCTCTCATCTAAACTCGCAATTATCGTAAAGCCCGGTCTACAATTGCGTAAGCATAGTTGCAAATAGTTGTAGTTGTAAGAATATACCAATTACAATCGAATATAAGAAGAATATTTGACTGTAATTGGTCAGTTCTTATAACTACAATTACTTACAACTTACGCTTACGTAATTGTAAGCCAACCAAGCTTAAGATTTATTCTGTTTCTGCAAGAATACTCCGCTGTACCAAAAATGCCTTCAGTAGCATTTATAGTTAAAGAAAATAATAAGTAATTTTCCTCTGTGAATGTTAAACACTTAAGTTATTTTCATAGACAATTAATCTTCAATGTTTATGTGCATCTAAAAAGATGTTTCAGATTTCTTATGCGATATTACTTGCAGGAACATTATAATATCTGGCAATACGACCAAAATTAATTAGCAAGGATCTACTTACAATTAGTGTACTCGGCCTGAATCGGTGTGAACAAAATTCCAAAGAACGCAACGAGCGCCAATGCGCCGAATCCCGGATGCGCCAGGCCGAACATCTCGCTTCGAATCTACTGAGGCTTTGTCGGATGGCGATAAAAAAGTGTCACACTCTCGTCGACGCCGGCGCTTCTTTATACGTCGTGCAACCACGATCGCATCTTTCTCGTCTCGATTTTTTCTTTCTCTGTCGCCGCCCACCGCCCTTGCCATCGTCGCTTTCCGTGATGCGCGGCCTGTCGCGAGGCCGTGAACTTCGAATCCGACGACAACTCGTGGCCGTCAATACACGTACGGTGTTACCCGTGTGTTCGTTTAGCGGCGGAAATCCACCGATAAAGCCCGAAGCGACCCTGGTGTAATTTTCAAGGCGAGCGTTAACGAAAATCCGCGTCAAGAACGTAGATTGGTCAAAGGACCAATAGTCGACTTCGTGACTAGCACTTGCGTTTAATTGTACATATACGTATTGAAAGTGAAATTGATTCAACTACCGTTGATTTTTACGTTTATCATCAAAGTCAAGGTTGGAGTATTCTCACGAAATTCTCTAAATTCTATATGCAGTACAAAAATTTATATATGCAGTACAAACCTGAAAACTTCGAAATTTTTATTTTATGATTTAAAATAATTCGGAATGTATTTGTTTTTCAAGAAGTATTTTTGGTCTCATTGATATAACAAAATTAAAAATACAATTTTGCATACGACATATTCAAAGGGATATGTATGGTGCGAGAAGAATACATACATATCTATCATAAATCTGGCATTTTTAAAATATAATATATAACTATATTCTTTCTATATTTATAATTTCGCGTAATGCGTTTAATGATGCTTTTAGCACGAAATACGTATCGCATCGCAATGTATAGCAACATCGGAGATCGTGATTGCAATCATGAACTTGTATATATTGCCATTACGTGAATTGCACGTACATCGCGGTTCCAGATCTTCGGATGGCTCGGCGTCGGTTGCTGCGGCGAATAAACACGGTCATCGTATGTAATCATAGCTCGCACGTGCATACGTTCTGTCCGACGTCGCCTGTCATCGGCAAACGGCAATCGGATTATGTATCTACGAGTAATCGCTGTGACAGGTGGGCAGGATAATCAGGAAACGGCAGCTGTCGTTTACGAGAGTTTCGTAACAGGTCGCACAATAGATTTGGTAGAATAGCGTAATTATGCCCGGCGGGGATCAAGGGAGGTTCCGATTTCTACTTCTGTCTTTGCGGTATAATACAATTCTGTGATCATTTTGAAGCCCCACAGTGTAGATGTCATGCCAAAAGAATACCGCAGAAATCAATGATAAATAAAAGACGGTTATTCAAATTGCAATTATTTTTTGTAAGCGTGATTATTAAAAATATCATATTGCTTTTCCTTTATTGTCGGTATTATATTCTTGAGCTAATTGTTACATGTATACAGATTGTGTAATTACAATAATGCCTTCCAGTAGAATGTATTCCGCTCGAAAGGATTATTACATTCTGTGAGTGACTTTGATGATGCCTTTACAAATTCAAACCACGAATAGTAGAGCAATCGCACGTAATTACAAACACAGGAGTTATTTCGTCTAATTTCGAAGATTGTTTGTGAAAAGTTTTCTTGTTAACGCACCACTTATTTATATGAATCTAAATTTCTAAAATTGCGGATAATAGAATGTCATGTCGTCCAAAAGAATTGAAAGAAACAGATGATGCGTACAGAGGAAGCATTTCATCAGCAACTTAAAATTTATCTCGTGCTTATCTTGACGCTGGTAAACCTTCGACTTCTTGCTTCGGAGCTATTCACCTAATTACTGGACGTCTTTTCCAAGGACGAATATCCATGATTTTGCGTAGGTCGTTACGATTGTAAGAGGAACCATTTCTTTGATATTTATCTCTCGTGATATCGTGGCGATGCTCAATGAATATTAATGAAAAAAGATTGCCCGCAGACATTAATTAGGAAAATGTAGAACACGTACTTGAATTACTGGCAGTATATCGAGATGTGTCTTTTGTTTTTCCTTGTTGTGATACTTCTCTCGTCTGATATCTCTGCGCTTCGCGATCCTCCGATAGGAAGAGAAAAAAGGATACATGTTGCAGATAAAGACTTCAAGCATAGATATGGTGAAAAACGGAAGTACCGAATATTCTTAAGAGCTTGAAAGAATTTCATATGACTGTAGATGTGTCTAATGTTTTAATAATTATTGCTTTTCATGGATTCCATATCGATAAATGAAATATACGAATGTTTCCTCTGATGATATAACAATAAAAATTAACGTGATATCTGAATCTAGGTAGCTATCGTTTCTTACATATGTGCAACTGCGTTAAATTGCTTTTCTAACTTGGCGCAAACTGGTGAAGGCACGTGCCAAGAGACGTGCTCCGTGTCCACGTGAGAGTCGGGCATGCACACGCCGCAAGTGTTCACTCGTGCAGGTGCATGTGCGATCGCAAGTACGCGCTGCGGGGATATGAAAGCGAGAGTAACTCCGCTATTACTCCATCCACGTTTCGTTGAACTTGACCCACTATTTGTCCCGGCGATACGATATGGCTCTCGCATCTATAGCACCGCGCACCTTCGCGTCACCTCACCTTCTTCGTTTTCCGCTCTCCCCTGTCGAGGTCCACCTACGCGGCGAGATGTCGTTCAAGTTTACTTGCATTTAACAGGCGATGGGAAGTATTCCTGTAGCTGGGTAACCGGGTCAAGTTCATCTCGAGACTCATAGACGAGATAGCGAGGCAGATACGGAAGTCTAATTTCGTCACAGTTGCAATCACACCGAAGATATCTTCGTACGATATTTCTGTCAAACAGAAGTTTAACAATATTTGCTCCGAACGTGGTGAAAAATTTCTCGCTAGTACATATTTCTGTCATTCTAACATATGTATCATTCTAACGTCGAGTTACGACCAAGTGTCAAGTGCGCGTGAATCATATGTAAATTATATATCGCAGAATATACATGAGTTCGTACATACATATAAATTTAGATTAATATTACCATCCATGAGAATCATTATATTAGAATTTAATTAAGAACTAAAATACTCCAGCGTTTTTAAAAATAAACAAAAGATTATTTAACAACGATTTAAGACGATTAAAAATTAATTGCAAAAAACTTGCGGTTTAATTTTCTCTCAATTTGCTTGTTCGAAATTACTTCCGTCATGTGTTGCGGGCGTGCAGCAGTTCCGAGGTCGTGATTAGGAGATTTTTGACAGCGTGGCATTGCCCGCTCATGAACACGAACTGGGTAAGGTCGTGAACATTAGGTGTTACGAGAGATACTAGGAGTCACTGACCGAGGCTAAGCAGACAAAAGTTTCGTTCGCTACACTTGAGATAGACGGACCTTGACGGCCCACAGTTTCTGAAAACAATTACCGCATATTTGTTCTCGCGGGGTCGTTCCATTTGGATACACGTGTGAACACTTTCGCTATAATCCGCTGTAATTCCACTCCCGTAATTGCATGCTCGCAAATCGAAAGCGTGCAGAATGCGAGTCTATTTATTTATTCTATTTATTTTTTACAAGTTCAATATACCATTTCGTATACACTTCAATATTATTTTTATGTTGTCATATCATGAGAATTTCTATTAAATTACTCATTTTATTACCGTTGCCAAGTCTTATCATCATATCTGTTTAATATGAAATGTTATGACGATAATTTATAATTTTATCGTAATTAATTCCGTTGTCATCCATCGTTTCCTTAAAATATATATTTTTATTTATCTATTTATATTTTTTTTGTGACATTCTATGTTTAGTTAATCTATTCGCTTCTATTTTTTGTTTTAAATTTCGATTGTTTTATTTTTGCAGAATTTATTTTATATGCATCACTAAACTATATTTTTATCTAATTTGCATACGGACGCATAGGTGAGTCACAGTATATATGTTCTAAGGTCGAAACTGGTTTATTTAGAAAATAGCCATTAGCTATTATAAATAATACGATTTTATAATGAAATAGGTGAATGTCTATTACTTATGAACATGTATTTATGAAAATGATTAGGCGCAGCAATTTTATTTAATATTTTTACTTAATATAAAAGCTGAAGGTGCAGTTCAAATCAATATTAATTGAAAAGTCATTACCTATTTCTACGTAATAAAAAAAGTATATGAAATTGGCATCCTTTGAGTCTTCGGATATCCATAACTTTTATATTTAATTGCCAGAATTTTTTTAAGTAATTGCTGAACTTTGGAACTCTGGGTAGAAGAGAATTTTCAATCTCAATTATATCGAAATTCTGAAAACGAGGTGCCAACTCCACAGAGGTAACGCGGTGGTCCTTTCGAAAATTAAATTGCAGAAGTCGAGAGTATGGAAGTCCAATAGGGGTATCAATAGACTGCGCATAGGCTGTCACGAATCGGGTTATGACCGGAAGCGAGCGAAATGGCGAACGAAACTTGCCCGGCGCGCGCGGCGCTATTGAGGAAGAGGAGCCAATCACAGTCCAATTCATGAAAAGGAAAATTAAATTTCGTTGAAGCGAACTCGCAGAATGACATCGTAATGTCAGCTACGTGCGCAATATGCATACATATAGGCCTTGGCTTTTTTTCGGCAACTGACCCGATGCGCCCGCGAAATCAAGCAGTTTCTCGAATGAGAAACGGCGCCGTAATATCTCCGATAAATCGAAACTGCGGTAGAATCTCGATGTCCTTATATCCATTTTTCGACAGCTACAAATATTTCTGGTATAAAAATGTTTCGACATATATAACAAATAACTGTTGTAATTTGAATATATGATACATTCGCGGTAAAATTCTGTGTGATTTTTACAATTTTCACGTTTTTTATGGAATATATGAAACTTTTGTTCCGTGTGAAATTGTGGACGTAATATTAATAACGTTTGCATCTGAAACTGGATATTAGATGAGATCGAGCAAAATTATTTGCTTCCACTGCGTGAAATTATTTCAACAACTAGTTCTGACGAAAATTGATATCGCCTCTCGCATGAATTGATTGTACGCGGCAGCCAGCTCGTCATATGCCGGAAATAGAAATCTGT